CGAGACCTCGCCGGAATTCCTCGCCGGAGAAAGCATCATTCGCTTTATCGTGAACGGCTTCTTCGACGGGAAAGCTGGGATCGGACGGAACAAGGCTTTGCCGGAGAGTTGTACGGTCGGCGGAGGTGGTATCGTCGATAAAGCCGCCATGAATTTTTCTCCCTTCCACTGATTTCCTCAGTTTTTTTTTTTCTTCACTTCAAAATTTGCCTTTTCGTCTTTGAATTATAGTGAAGCTCGTTTGTAGTATTTATTTGGCAACGGATATAAACAGCTTTATCAACCATTGAAATATGTTCGTGAAGATAATGAATTCCCAAGTGACCGAAACGTCGACGTTTCACTCGGAACAAAACGACGTCGTAGAAAATCTAACGTCTGATCCAATATCTGTTGTTTATATAATAATACATCACCACTTCGGACAATCTTAAAATCCGAAATTACAAATTAGGGCTCTTAAATCCCAAAATCAAAGGTATCCGGTCCGTATAATTTGTATATTATTAAATTTTATTCAGTTTAGCTTTCTATATCTAAAGAACAAATATGCTAAAAATAGTTTGTGATATAAAACAATCATTGTGTGAATTTACAACCATTTACAATCTTATTTGAAACTTATATATATATATATATATATATATATCATAAAACAAAAATATTGTTTGTTGCTTTACAAGCAAGAAAGTATCTGATATAATTAAAATTTATGTAATCAAAGTGATCTAATAAAGTGTTTAGTAGCAGCGGCAGAGGAGAACAACTCAAACACAAAGGGTAGAAACGGAAATGAACAAGAAAATAAAAGGGTAAAATCGTCAAATCACGAAATGCTATTGTCCCTAATCTCTATGTTGTCCCCCTCTCATAATTCACCGCATCACATTCTTCTGTCGTGTCGTGGAATCGGAGAAAAATCACACCGAAGAATTTTCTCTCCGTTTTCTCGGTTCCCAAACGGTACAAGGAAAGAAGAATTAATGGCGGATCAGCTCACCGACGATCAGATCTCTGAGTTCAAGGAAGCTTTCAGCCTGTTCGATAAGGACGGAGATGGTCTCTTCTCTCAGATCTCTCTCTCTCTCTTGCTCATTTTGCCTTTTTTTTAGAATCGTGATTTCGCTTCTTTTTTTTTCTTTCTGATTTTTATCCTCGTTTTCGCGCAATTCGTCTATGTATCATGCGAGTGGTGGATGATCTAGTTTTCTTTCACGCATCTTTGTACTGCTGTTTTTGTTGCTTGTCCGATCGCTTCGTCCTAGGGTTGATTGATTGTTCATTTCCCGCATTTCTGTGGTCGGCGATGATATTGTGGGTAATCTGCTCGTGTTTCAATGTAAGATCGAGATTGTGGTCTTATTGCACGCAGTTCTGTACCCGTCTTGTTTTAGATCCCGCCATTAGGCCGTCGGAAGGACGTAGAAATGGACTCTTTTCGTGTAGCTTATCCGTATATAACGCCCTTTGTTGTGTCCGGTGTAACCACCTCTGTTCTGTCCGTTTTCGGAAACTAGATTCCTAGTATTAGGTATTGAAAGGTTTGTGAAGGGATTGTATCCGATTTTACTACTCACATGCGTTGTGGGTATATCTTGTAGGGCTTAGATTCATTTCACCATTCTCAGTGCAGTGTCCGTCCTTTGGCCTTTATTTAGCGCAATTAGGCTTTTTGTTGGACAAAGTGCATAGGTCTGTTAGTCTTTCGAGATTAAGACGACTTGAGCACTGTTGTCTGCATATTACGCGGAGTTCTGTGTAGTGCTTGTGTGGTGAATCAGTGGAAGTGTGGTCGATACGAAGTTGATCTGTCCTTTTCTTTTTGTTTCTTCATCAGTGGTGTTGTAAAGAATGCTCGGGTTTGATGGAACAAAGTGGTAATAGTGTGAACATTTTCACGCGGAAGCCATTTGGACGTAATGCTGGGTTCATGGCCATTCTCTTCATTGCTTGGTTTTTGACTGGGTCCTTGAGATTACATAGATCGTTCTAGTCAGGTGTTAGCACATGAGATTCAGGATCTCTCTTCGACCATACCTTTGAGATCTCTGACCAGCAAGTGGTACACGAAAGTGCAATCTGAATGTGTCATACATGTTTCTGTAGTGTAGAAATGCTGTTTGTTTCTCTCGGAGGGATAGAGCAGGACACGACTGAACTGAAGCTGCCTGAATTCTGTTGCAGGATGCATCACGACCAAGGAGCTGGGGACTGTGATGAGATCTCTCGGGCAGAACCCGACGGAAGCCGAGCTGCAGGACATGATTAATGAGGTGGACGCTGATGGGAACGGTACCATCGACTTCCCGGAGTTCCTGAACCTGATGGCACGGAAGATGAAGGACACGGACTCGGAGGAAGAGCTGAAGGAGGCTTTCCGGGTATTTGACAAGGACCAGAACGGCTTCATCTCAGCGGCCGAGCTGCGTCACGTGATGACGAATCTCGGGGAGAAGCTGACCGACGAGGAAGTCGACGAGATGATCCGAGAGGCTGATGTGGACGGCGACGGCCAGATCAACTACGAGGAGTTTGTCAAAATCATGATGGCCAAGTGAGGAGAATGGTACTCCCCTCTTGAACCAAAAACTCTGATATCCCAAGTCCTCTTTCTTTCTTTAAAAATAAAAAAAAGAATCCGACACGGGAAAATGAGATGTCTATGGAATGAAAAAGAAAGAAACCGGAGAAGAGCAAAAATCAGGAGACAGGATTGGTGAAGACGTATATCTATAGATCAATTTTCATTTGGTTAGGGACATGTTTTGGTGTTTTACTTTTGGTTACTCTTTTGTTCTTCCCGTTGCGTTTTGTGTTGTACTACTGTGTTTGGTTTCTCCTTCGTCTTCGTTTTGTTTCTGTGAAATTCTCAGTAATTCTCGTTGCTCGTTTATTCGTTCTTTCTTGGCCTTGCTTTTGTTAGATATATAGTTTTAAAAAAAAAATTGGAAAAACGAAATTTGAATCAAATATAAAAAATAATCGAAAAAAATCGATTATTCTAAGAACAATAGTATTTCTAAAATTCAAGTAAATTATTTGAGTCAAATCAAATAAATAATTTAAATAATATATATATATATATATTTAAACACAAAAGTTTCAAATGAAAAATAACCAGTGTTTTGCGCGCACACGTTCAGATATCGGCAGGGGGGTCAAGTTTCTCTCTCTCTTTACAATGAAAAAGGCTTTTCCACAGAACCAAGGAGAAGGAAGCTTTCCAACACCGCGTTGAAGAGAAATCGAGGAAAAAGAATCATCCTTTTGAGAAGGCAAAGGATTCCGATTCTTCTCTCCGTACAAACAAGTGGCGGGAAGAAGATGCGATATGGCTGTGTTGGTTGGTGAAAGGCTCTTACCCGGAATCTTTCTTCCACCCGCTCAAGGGCTCCTCCCTCTTAACTGTTTTCCTTTTCAGGGCATGAAAAAACATTAGAAAGTGATGGCTTTCGACCTTAATCCATCCGATCCGCCCCTCTCCTGCTTCCCCGTTGCAAGTTTCTCACTCCCAAATCGAGTAAAATTCCGGTATGGAGAGCTTCAAGGCATACGTTCCCATGCTTGATGCACCATCTCTTCCTCTACAAAGGGTCGCAAGGACCACATCAGGGTGTAAGTCTCTAGTTCACTGGATAATGACTTGAGACCAAGAGACTCCACAATCTTTTCCTGCAAGAAAATTAACCCTTATATTTGGCTTTCTAGCACAATGTTTTCTCCCTTGTAGAGATTCATATAGAGATCATACCTGCATCGCGTGGTTTCTCAACATCATACTATAAATGACTGAAATCAAGACGGCGTACTCTCTGATTTCCGGTTCTTGAGAGCAAGATGTAGTCAGTTTTTCCTGATCATTCAATTCTAATAAAATTAATCTATGAAAAAATAGTTAATTTTACTCTTATTTTGACTCGAAAACAAGTAAGACTCTTCTTGGCTCTTAATAAAAAAATATGTTACTTGATAACTTATTCTGTTGATATCTGGCCTCATGATGCAACCAATGGCACGATTCATCGTCAAGACGCGTGGAAAATGTAGTGGCAGTCTCTATTGCAAGGGTTGCATCCTCGACGAGACGCTCAAGCTCAACTAATAGGCTTTTAGCTACAACCAACACATCTTTAAGATTAAACATCATCTTTATTACAAAATAAGAAATCTGATAACAATGAAGCAAACAAAGACGTCAGCGTTAAGCCAGGAAAGAAAGCAACAGAGAGAGAATTGATAGGTTTGTGGAGCAAAAGATGGTTCTAAGGTACAGGCAATTGATATAAAAAAAAAAAAGCTAGAAGGATTCTGAATAATGAATAATGGAAGGAAAAATACATTACCTTTGATTAGATAGTCATGAAGTCCCAGCATGCAAGTATGCACTTCTTATCCCAATACCATTTAACCAGCAAAGTTGATTGGATCATAAATGGAAGGCCAGGTTGTGAAGGAAAACAAACGAGAGAAATATGTAAGCGTGATGCGAGATAGAATGCTGAAAAAAAGGTACCGGTAAATTCTGTTGTACTTCAACACAGTATAAGAGACTAGAACGAAAAGTTGGCCAGAACTTCGCCAAGGATGGACAGCAAAATTGGAACCCTTATTGAACATTAGGACTTACATGTTTTCGTGGTCTGTGCAGCATTATGGATGTTAATATAACCTGCTTTGATATACAATTTAAGCCGTCTTGTTTCATTGTTTTTAAAAATGTTCTCGATCAACTTCGATGAAGTATCAACAGGAGGTTGTTGGAGCAAACCTGAAAGGGAGAGAGAGATGAGCAAAACAAATGCCAAAAAAGAGTATAAAAGGATCACATTCATCCCCGATGAAGATGGTACAAAGAAACGCACTGAGTCCTTGTTGAAACCGTAGAAGAAATTGGCTTCCAGTATTCCCTAGTTTCTCAATCAAGCTTTGTGATCCTTTCATCGCATAACCATAAGTGAGATTTGCAGAGTTAAACGAGAAGAGTGACATCCGAAAATCTGAATGGAAATCTAACAAGTTACCCTGTCATGAAATCTTTGAAGATCTCGAAAATATTCCTCTTCAGCTCCCTTGTTGCTTCCGTATCTTTGTCACTCATTCTAAAAGAGACAAATAGCAAAATCTTATCAAATATAAACCATCAGATAAAAAGTTCTAAATGGCACGCTTCGAACACAAATCACAATCTTCTCACAAGTATTTCATCGAACACCTTGTAGTATTCAATCAGACGCAGCTTACCTCAATTAGACCCGGAAAATTTCAGGATACGCACTCATACCCGAAAGAAAAGGTATCATAATATGAAACCTGGGCTCGTATGGTATCGATATTTGATATCCGGGCTCGTATGGGAGGGCCTCGAGTACCTGGGTTACGCGTACGGGACAATATACTCGGTTACTAGCGCGAGCACACGAACCCAAAGACTATTTAATGGAAAAAAAATTTGTCCAAAAACGCTGCATTGAACAAAATCCATCAAGGTTTCATTTCAAAAACTTATTACAATCTCAGCCAATCTAAAAATCATATATATTGAGAATACTAACCCAACAAAGCCATAAACCGTAGCCCTATGCAACACAACAACGCCAATACCATAGAAACAAGAATATGAGCTCCAACTCAACACAGTAATTGAAGGACATTGGACGAAATATATATTACCTGATCATTTCATCTGGCAGTTGTTGTTGATGTTATTGACAGTTGAAATCTGTAAATTGGGTTTCTGGATACCTATTGAGAGGATATCCGTTTACCCCTCTGAGCCGAGGAACTCCTTGGCTGAGGAATTACTCACCGGCAGAGGAGATGCATGGCTTCGGAATTAGAGATCGATTTCGGTTTCTGGAGCAGCAATGGCTCCGGGAATGTGAAATTCTCCTCCGAGAGATTTCGGAATAAAACCCTAGAATCTCACCGGGGAAAAGTCTGTGAAGTGAGAGAAACGGTATGAATTAATTTGTTTTTAGAAAAATAATAATTATGTAAAAAGTGAGATAAATTTATGACTTGTCTACAAATTATCAAAAAGTATACACAAAAAGCCAAAAATATTGACACGATTATGCATTGTATTCACGTGTGTATCTATATATACATCCATATGGCATATACACATACAGACACATATACTCAATTCATATATACATATGTATGCATGTGTACATACACAAGCAGACACATTTATACAGATGTATATATATACATGTTCATATATATATATATGCAACGATGTATATATTAATCTAAACGTGGGACATTTTGCATTGAAATCCATCTGATTCAAACTATTCAGACAAATGCCCAACCAAAAAAAAAATAAAAATTAAACGACTAAACATTTACGAGGGTCGAGCCAAAATCAGATCTTTCATCCAACCCGCAAAAAACCCTAAAACGCCGATGATGTTCAATCCAACCAAAAAAAAAACCCCTAGTAGAAATAAAGCTGATGGAGGATTTCTTCAGCAGAAAAACATGGAGCTGGCGACATTGTCTTTGAGCTTCGGCAACTGAGGGACAGGAACTGCTCCGACAGTGGTCACTCCTCCGCCTCCATGGCTCGAGGAGCTTTCCGATGTGTCCTCAAATTTCATCAGTTGCCCCATCTGTGCCGCCGCCAAATGAGCGTAGCTAACTGGCGCAACTGCGCATAAAAAAAACATTCATCACCAAAAGGGGCAGTAAGTAATAACAACAAAGCATATGAATTGATCAAAAGTATATTTACTTACCTATAGAGATGGCGGTCGTGCTCCGCTGGTAGCTGCGATTATACGAAAGCAATGCCGGGTTACTCGTTGTGACGTATCGAAGAATTGATATCGAGTTTATACCAATATACTTACACATAGGATAGAGCGTGGACAAGTTCTTGCAGTTCATCAGTGGAAAGCCCGATTTCGTCGTACAGGACATGGTAGTGAGTCGGTCGTGTCGTCCCCTAAGGACAAACGGGCAAAAAATCCCGAATTAGTAAATACAAAGAAACCAAATGATTCGCCGTGGGCGTTGAAAAAACGATAACCCGAAATGGACAGCTCTTGCAGGAGATAGAACTTACGATCATTCCAGCATGTGCACAGAGGTAGAAATCGTAGTTTCGTGGGTGACAGATCTTGCTGTCGATGATTGTTCCTACACACCAAACAGGACCTTAGAACCCATTTCAAACCCCCCCACCCACTACCCCGACAAAAGATTGCAAACCAAAGCTCTTTACCGGGAGGAACGTTCTCGGGAGCGTTAGGCTGGAAGAATTTGGTGTGGTGGTTCTTCTGGGCAACTATGACCATAAACTTGGGGTTCCAAGATTCGTCAAGAAACTTGCATGCCTAACATGGGAAACCCAAAAGAAAGATCAAACTCCTCCGGAAAGGAAATGCCGAAAATCTTGCAGAGTTGTGAAAATTTCAAGAAACCAAAGAGCTTTACCTGCATAATCTGGTCAAGTTCAATGTTCAGAACTTGGTTGAACTGAGATTCACTCACACCGTCCCTAAATGTATACAACACCATGTGAAGGAAGTTAGCAAACTTGTGCCTTCTAGACTCTACTTTGCAAGATAATTGAATGAACAAATCATATAATATACCTGAAAATTATAATGTGCTCGGGTTTTCTCTTTCCAGAACTCGAATAAAAGTCGATTAAGAGCTCCCTGAAACCAATGTGTGGATGAATAGTGTGACCCAACATACAGCCATCAGTACAAGAAAAAACAGTGAAAGAAACTTTTACCTGATGATCCCGTCGTCTTCCTTTTCAGACACACGTTTGAACAGATTATCGATCATTTCAACTTTACTCGACTGTGTACGCACACAAGCCCTGTATTTTGAGATAGACGGCCATTGCCTAGAACCCACAACCTACAAATTCCAGAGATAAACATATTAGAATCATCAGATAAAAACACTAAGAAAGACAAAATAAGAAGAAAAAAAACATAACAAGTTACCGCAGCAATGGATGGTATATCTGATTGCCCTGGAGAGCCATGGGAGACATCCATCCCGAGAATGAGAGTAGGAACCTTAGTAGCTGCAGGCATTGCTGGCGTGCGCTCAACAGCTAACACAGAATTCAGACCGCCGAGCTATATATACAAGAAATAATTATAAATAACGCAAGAGAACTTCAATCATATCATAAGGTGTATTTTCAATTGTTTATTTCGACTTGGAAAAACATCATGGTTTAAAATTTCTATCCAAACAGGGATATCATATGACCATGTGCAAGATAAACCAAGCCAGAGGTCACCTTTGCATTTATCTTCAGGAGAACGTTCGTAAGATACTGGTCATTTGGTTTTAAGGGAACAATACACTGAGTCACGATTCCAAAATCAGTAAGATTTTTCTTCTTCCAAGGACCTGAAGAATTTGGAGGCAACTCTATCAGACGATACCCACATATAACTTCATCCAAACAACTTGGACGAAAGAAAGTTTTTCGATTTCTTTGGATAGGTAATATAAAGTAATGATTGTACCATAAATATCGGAGTTCTTCCTTTCTGCTAGTATGCAAAGAAGGAACTGTGGAGCCCCAGGGAGTTTTGATTGTATCTGTTCAAACATCTTCTCCACTCTGACTGCAGCAGGTGCACGTCTCATCTGATGATTTTCTTCAAAAGTATCAAATGGCGGACTTATTTGCTAGGACAAAAAGGAAAAGAAACCAACAGAGAAAGATTATGAGTTGCATGATCATGATCATGTGTGACATATAAAAATGCCCAGAGGAAGCTTACAATTCCTTTCATCTGTCCACATCTTATCAAATCACGGACGAGTGATTGCATATCACATCGCGCTGAGAAGTTGACAACAGCCCATTTTTCAATCTTAGTTGGCTCAACAAGTTTCTGAAGAATAATTTTGGTCAGTATCAAATGTTCAGAACATCAATAAGATAATCGGCATGGCAGAGAGATAAAACATAGCACCTTGTTATTAAAGTTCCAACGTCCATTTCGAGGAATGAAGTCTTCACCATTGCCCGCTTTCAGCTGTTAGTAGAAAACGAGAGAGAGAGAGATGAATCTTAGCATCATAACCAGCAGATAGTATCAAACTTACATCATGCCACCAAAGAAAATACAAGAGAAGAACAATAGGTATAAATATACACCTTGGGAGTTGGTAGAACACGGCCCTCCACTTGGGTAAAGTTAGAGCTAATATTAATGCCACTTGCATGCAGCAATGGCTCAGCATTGTAGTTGCTGGTCTTCAGAGCCTGGAAGGAGGAGCAAGTCATAAAGTCAAGATGCGTAAAATAAGGTTTTCACAGCATAAAGGGTCCTAGAAAATAACCTACATGGGATAAGACATTCATCCGTTCCTGTGGTTTCTGCCTGGATCTCTCCACTAGGGAAGACCTTTGAAAACTGGTAAGGGCTTTTGTGTACCGTTGTAGAGAAACTAGTGAACAGAGCTATGAAAACAAATATTAAACATCAATCTTTCAAATTGAGAGGAGAAAGAGAATCCCACAATCACAAACCAAAACCATGAAAAATTCCATTACCTCCATGGGCATGAAAGTCGGACGTTTGGGTTTACCAACATTGACGCAAGGTAAATCTGCCGAATACCTCAAGTCCATCTGACGGACATTAACAAAGTAGTCATACACAGACATTTCGACCTCCTCAGCTTCGCCACTTTCATTTTTCACATTCTTCCTCTTTAGAGTAAACCTAAAACAAGCATGAAAGATAATTGCCCAGAAGAAAGAAGAGATCAAGATATATATCTTATAAAACGGAATCAAGAATATTCAACAAAAGCATACATTTGTCTTTTGCAGCTTTGCTCACTTAGCCCAGTTATTTTGTATTCTTGTTGTGAGGGCATGACCTTAACTCTCAGATTCTTGAGAGTTCGTGCAGCCTGATGTAGGAATATCAGAGTAAGTACTTCTTGAAGATGAAATCGATCAGCAAATTCAATGCCTATAAAAGAACATTACTCACCTTTTTCCAGTCAATTGAAAATGGATCTCTCGCACCCTGGTTTTCCAGCACAAAATCAACGACTGGACCAGGTTGAACTATCATTGTAGTTGACACGTCTGGGGACAAATAAAAAGTAAGAAAAATGGGTTTGATAGAAAAATTGCGACAAAAGGAAGAATCTTTTAAGACATCAAAACTCAGAATATGTGTACCGATATTCAGGGACAAGCCACTCTGGGTAGTCCTAAAGCTAGAATGGAAGCCTCTGCAGCCAATGATGCCTCCACCAAGTTTTTCAAAGTTCTTTACATCATTGTGGAAGAAGGATTGGCGAACAAGGAGACAACCTCTGCAAATCAGAAAAGACATCAAAACCCAACACGAGGCAACTGTATAGTAAGGGAAACAACTCAAAAAATCCGCGTACTGTTTTGCAGCGTGTTGACGCAATATGATATCCAGGACCCTCAAAGCTTCTTGCAGATTCTCTGTCTCCTGTCCTTTAAGAGCACTTGCAATAGCCTGCATGGGAATTTTTGTAGCAAAGCTGATCTCAACCTTGAATTTCTTCGAGTTGTATGGCCGCCTTAATCTTTTTCTATCAGCATCGTTTGTATCACTAGGGCTAGCATTCCCAGTGTTTCTGAAAACACACAATAAAAGAACATTTAAAATTCGAGTTTTATGGTTCATGAAAAAATAAAATAAGCAATATCATCAAATGTAGTAACCTGCTTGACGAAATGTCTTCAAGAACAACAGAAAAGTCGAGTTTGTTGCGAGGGAGGGCACCAATGGTGAACAAAGTCTTCTCACCATCATAAGCAAAGTCCTTGAAGCCCAAATCACTTTGGTAAGTTTCCTGGACTTTTTCAAGAACCTTCCTGCCCACTCCCTTAGCTTCCACCGGATGGCCATCTTCATACATTAGAGCAACCTAAACCCAACAACAACAACAACACAAGACAGACCCAGATGAAGTATTGTCGGAATCTTCCATATCTGTCCTATGCATTAAGAGATATCATTCATGCAGGACAACAGAGGAATCAAGGAGAAGCATACACTGTAATGGAAGAAATGGCCATTCGAATTCGTGTAATTGACTTTGAAGTGGTTTGTGAGCAATGAAATCTTCTGGCCCTTGGTCCCGAGGCCACGCCTAGCCATCGGGAGACGGAGTTTCTTCTTCACTGCAGGCTCGAGTTCCACCTTAGCAGGGACTACATCTGCAGGAACAGGTGGAGGAGGGGGTAACTCTTCCCTTGCCCCTTTTCCATTTGGGTTGCCGGAATCCATTTCCTGATAAGAGGAATAAACAAATATATCACAAACCTTTCACTAACATACTTGGAAGATATCTTTCGTTTTCCTGCCATTTTACTCCATAAGCAACATTACATAAAAAATGACATAACAGTTCAAGGAGACATGAACAGAGCATATACAAGCAAGATTCAAAAGAAAGGGAAACGAAATGAATAATGACTCTTTGACTCTTATGTCACTATAGCAGAAATCATATCTCACGTCTTCAAACAGCTTTTCCTCTCAGTGCATTTAAAAAACAAACACACCATAACAAAACCCATTTTGTGTAATACAGCAACCAAAGACAAAAAGAGAAACCAGTAAGAAAAAATCCAGAACAAGAGAAACCCACTCAGCAGCGAAGGGGAATAATCAAATAAAACGCGCAGAAGCAAGAGATACATCTGCATGCAAGTGAAGGATGGATCTCTCTCTCTCCATCTCCCTCTGCGCAGAAGAAGATGAGGAAGGAGAAGAAAATAAAAAAGACCCATGGCTGAAAACTGAAAAATAATAGAATAAAGAGAAGTGATAGTAAAGTTTTAGCCTTTTAAAAGCAAAACAAAGAAAATTAAAGAGGCAGCGAGAGAATAAACAGAAGAACTCAGGAAATTTTCTTGGGGGAAAAACAAACAGAAACAAAAAAAAAAACCTACATTCCAGATTTCCGGAGAGGAGAAAAGCAAAGAAAGAGACCCTTGTTTCTATGTTTAAAAAATAAACACGAAAACCAACACATCCCTCAGATAAAGAACTTTCAAAACCCAGAAAGCAATCACACTCCAAACACCATGAAACAGTCATCTCATGAAAATCACAAGACATGTCACACAACGAAAATCACAGACATGCCGGGAGGAAAAAAAAAACACAAAACCTACGAAAAATCACTCGTTCAGGCAGAAAAACTTAACGAAGAAGCGGACAAAAAAACCTCAAATCAAAAACTTTTTTTTTCCAGAAAAGGAACCGCCAGAGTTCAAACATCATGCATGGCAGACAGAACAAACCCATTGCAAAACAAAGTCCAAATATGAGAAAATAGTAACCAGACGGAGAAGATTTTGACTGGAATCATACCTTCGTGCCCAAGAGAGCGAGACGCCGATTAAATTTTTTTTTTCCGCGAGCAAACCCTAAAAACAAATTGTAAAAAAGGGACCGTCTTTTCTGCTAGGCTGCCTGTGTGTTTTATATCTACAGTGGGACCCACATTTTAATTTTTTTTTTTACCCCTTATTTTAAGATAAATTATCAGATTTGATAATATATCCCATGAAAAGTTTTATATTGACGGGCACATCAATAATGCCCAAGCAGTTTAAAACATTATAATATGAGGGACTAGATTAATATACAAACATGTCCGGACCATTTACATAAAGATATATAATTTTAAAATTGGATTCAACTGATTAATAATTAATTAAATTTGCTACGTATTGTGATTCACAGTACAGTCTTGTGATGTGAGTTGTCACAAAAATTTTAAAAAAAATATATATATTTAGAAGGTTCAATTATAGGCCCTAACAAACAAACGGCATTCAAGCAATTAATTTAGCCATAATTTCCAATTAGTGGGTGTTAAATAATCTTCCGTGGCTTCTTCTATCAATGCAGACTGATAATATTATCATATTGAATTAAAAGAGCGTTACTAATAATCGTCGTAGGCAAAAGGTGTAGTTGAAACGGTGCCATGAAACGGATAATAAAAGAAATTAAAATATATATGAAATAAAAAAAAATAGAGAAAAGGAAGCACACGTGTGAGCCTCGTGCGTGGAATGAACGGCTAAGATTGTCTGACGTCTTGCACAATACGGCGCCGTATTATTGTTATTATTTAGTATTATTTTATTGGCTAAGAAACGACATCACGTCACGTACGCCCATTCTTTGTTGGTACGTGCCGTTATTTTCTTTTGTTTTTTTACCACTGTATTGTTTTTACTGGTTATTTTTTAATTTAGATTAAGAAATTATATATATAGCATTGCTCTTAATTTGAATTTTTAAATTTAATTTTTCTTAAAATATTAATTTTTTTCGTTTATTTTTATTTGATTCGAGTTTGATTATAATAAAAAAACCAAATCAAATCTAATTAATTTTCAAATAAACTTTAATTTAAATAAGATTATTTTTATTAGATTGGATATGGTTAAATAGACCTAAATAGCAACTCAAATTTATCTAAAAATGTTGAGATTCGGAATCTAAAATTATAATTATGTTAATTGTACGAATCAATGGTTTCTTTTTCTTTTTTGGTTTTTAGTTTTTTTACTTTTGAAACTTCAATTCATCCCAAAATTTTAATACTTTTGTAGACTGCCTAGCAATATAAATCGGGCTCATTCGGCCCACCTCCACCCAAATGGGTATAAAATTTTTGAAAATATTAAATATTAAATATAATAAAAATATTTTTTTTAAAAAAATTCTTAACTCGTAGCGAACTAATTTATTCTGTCTTTTTTCGGACTAAAACTTTTTGAACCTGTTTCAAAAAATATCCGTAGTCTATGAACCAAATCTATTTTGACATCTCCAATGGTCTTTTATTAGTCTTACCCGAGTTCGAGATATACTCTAATAGAAGCCGTGAGTTTTATATCATAATTTTTAGTAGGAAGTGGATATTTTGATATTCGGTTCGAAAATAGTTCGATTTGTTTTCTTCCGATTTTATAAAAATATGCATCAGTCGATTATTATGTCATATTCGATTCGATTTAATTTTCTTAAAAACACTCATTTTTTTGATTTTTTTTTAAATTATGTTCGGTTCCGTTTCATTTTGAAAAATTCAGTTTTTTTATAAAAAAAATACTAATTGAAAGTTTTGGACGGTTCAATTAAAAAAATGCAATATTTTTTGGTTCACTACAATTTGATTCCGAGGAACAATGTTTACCCTTAGTTTTTAGCTACTGGTCTTGGCTGGTAAATACATTGAAAATCGTATATATGATCACATAATAATAGTAATAACAATAATAATAATAATAATAATAATAATAATAATAATAACAACAACGGTTAGAACATATATGTTGTTACCGGAAAAAAAAAGAAAGTATACATGTGATGACGCAAATTCGAGATCGCGTTAAGTTTTGTATCCAAACGTCACTTGACAATGTCGTTCCCGTTCGATGTGATGCTAACTCTATTACAGTAAATTAGGATTTGAATAATGTAAAGAAAAGGGCATTGCAAATCCTTGGATGCCTTCAATCAACGGGGTCTCCTTGATAACGACATATATTTCGGGAACAATTGAAAATTTTATGTAATATTGGGGTGAATATAGAAAACTTATTTACTTTCTCTCACCAGCAGTCACCAGGGGTGCAAGCCCGTACGGCACTTCTCCGTCACCACATCGGCTGACGCTGTCAACTTATCCACCGCGATCTCACAGTCCACCGTAACGGACATCGTCCACGTCGTAACGGACCCCACATTAACCTTAACAGGCGCATCAATCTTAAGGCTAAACGGCAACGTCCCCTTCTTCTGCGCCTCCGTTAACTCTTTTCGCATCGAAGCCGTTAACTGAATACCAGACCCCTTTAACGCCGTCATTAACGTCGTTATATTTTTTGCCGGCTGCTTAAATGACGGCGTCACGCCGTTACCGAAGTTGACTCCGTCATGATATATCTTCGCCGTGCTTCCTTTCTCGTAGAAGAAACCGAGTTTGCCGTTTGGGTTCTCCAATCTGAACGTGACTTCAATTTCCGGCGAAGTCAGTGACGGTGATGTCAGGTTGAAACCGGTGATGGAGACTCTGGCGACGGAGAAGCGTGGCTTCTCCGGCCGATAGACGAGGTAGAGGACAGCGGCGGCGATCGTAGCGAGGACGGCGAAGATCAGGACGGCGGCTAGGAAGGAGCAGACGCATCTCCGGCAAAGCGAACGGCGTCTGGTTTTACGGCGAGATAGGTAATCGTAACGGTGGGCATTTTCCGGCGGAGGGACGCGGTAGATCTGTTCCTTTGGGATTTGAACGAGGTAAGTCCCTGCCGGTGGCCCGGTTCTCGTTCTCTGGAAATCACCGGGAAACTCGCCGGAAGTATTATTGTTCATATCTGAGGAAAGCTTTGTTCTATGGGAATCTCCGGAGTTGAATTCTCCGGCCATGGCTCGCGATTTCTCGTCGGCGACGGTGAGATGAAAAATGGATGATCAAAATGCAAAAGCGGGAGAAGGGAAATATTTGATTCGCATCACGCGGTTCAAGGGTAATTATGTAATTTTAAGTATTTTTGATATATCTGTTGCCATTTCTTTTTTGTAAATAGACAAAGTGGGTAACATGTCTGTGACGACGTGACTTGATTGCATTTAGTCTTTTGCCATTTAGTCATGGCCGATCTAGCTTAATAACACTCTAAAATTAATTTTAATTATTTAAATGAGTTTTTATAAAATTTATTAAAATTTGTATATTATATATATTTTTTGTTAAATTATATTATATATATTTAAATTAATTTATATACAATATAGAATTTATTCCATGAATGGATAGAAATTATAATGAATGATAAATGAATTTAATATTGAATAAATACTATTTTAAAATTGAAAAACTGGAACTAAATAAATTGTTTTTTAAAATATTGGTATAAAAATTTAATTCGAATTAAATTCTAAAAGGAATTGAATGGGGAAGAATCCAATCTATAAATAGAATAATTAAAATTTTTAAAATAAAAAAAAACGAAGCCGAAAATAATAAAAAGTCTGATAATTTATACTTGTGCTAATTATTATCATCACATAATCAACACGCGCGCACACTCATTTCATAGAAACATCAATACTAATGAACAAACGGAATCAGGCCAAACCATACGCCGTTAAAAAAAACAACCGTAACTTAACGGTGCCGGTTCACGAACATTTTCCTGGTCAGACCGCAACCGAGGGCATCATCCGGTATGTGACCGATCCGGTTAACCCCTTCGGCGAAAACCACACCCATGCCCATGTGCAGATGCGGTTCGATATGGCAATGAAAGAACCAAACCCCTGGATTGTCCGTTACATATCTTAACGCCGTCCATCCGTACGGATACACAACCGCGGTGTTCCGTAACGGCGGATTCTTCAGATTAAACGCCGTTTCGTCCACTCCTTGACGGAATTTCCCCTCTCCGTACCCTAAAACCCAGAAGTCGTGTCCGTGCAAATGCCATGGATGGATCTCGCTCTCGTTTGGGTTTAACGCGTTTGCATTCTGGAGGATCACGTCGACGGTGATATTCAGCGGGAACGTGTAGATTCCGTTACCGTGCGTCGCGTTAGGGTTCGCCGGCGGTTTCGTGATGTCGTAATCCATCGGAAAACTCCTCGGCGGCGATTTCTGATCGAACACGCCTTTCAATCCGTACTTGATCGAACCCAGGTACGGCGTCGCCGGTACGGACAAGGATACATTGTTGAGTGCCCACTTTATGAACCCGTTGATCCGATTCTGGGTGTTGAGCAGAATCAATCGGCGATTCGATTTCTTCGGCGGAGGCGGAGATCCCATGGCGGCGAGGATCTTCTTCGAGAAGCTTTTGCTCCGGTCGAAGTCGTTCCACAGTGGAATCTCCGGCGGGGGAGATGGCGGGAGCTTGGAGGCAGGGGCAGTTCGGTAATTTAAGAGGGTTAACGCCGGAAGAGTCTTGGGTCTGCGGCCGCGGACGCCGACGGAGATCCAGTAGTTCTGGGAAGGGTCTTGGTTGGTGGTGAGGAGGACGGAGTAGCTCTCACCGGAATAAATGTCGATATCGTCGACGGCGAAGGGCGTGACGTAGTTGCCGTCGGCTTCGACGACGACGAGCTTGTGTCCCTGCACGTGCGAAAATCAGACGCACGTGTGATTTTAAAATTCCAATATTAAATGGTAAAAGGGGCCATTGGGCTTTTTTTTATCGGGCTCGAAAAGCCCAAAATAAATTACTTATAATCTTTATCTTATTATTAATTCAAATTCAACTTTAAAGCGATTTCATATTCCTTATTTCAATAATAAATTAAAAGAAATATTTTAAAAAATTGAAAAAATCAATTAGATTTATAATAGAAACTCTAAATTTATAGTTTTTTAAAAAATATTATTATATTATTATTATCCAAAATTTATTTCTTATCATTAAAAAATTAATATATAAATTTATATTTTTTGTTACTAAATAATTTTAATAGTAATAATTTGTATTATAGAAATTTATAATTTTTATTAATTAAATTTTATAAAATGCACAATATCTCCTAACAAGTTTAAGAGACACAATGTCTCTACAAACTAATATTTAATGATGAATTCTACTCATATTTTTAAGAGGATGAAGTTATATCTATTATATAATGATTGGTATCAAAACGATCCGATTTTTGAACATGTGAAAAATAATACCGGTGAGATTATAGGAGTATATATATCTTCCCTACTAATTAAATTGTTTTGATGAATTTTATAATATATGGGTAGTTTGTAACTGAGGTGCACGTTTCGGTATTCGGTTTGAGTTCGGTCTGATTTTTTCGGTTTTACAAAATATATCAATTGACTTATTATATTATACGGTTCCAAAAAAATTAATTAAAAAAAAATTAGTTTTTTTTTAAAATAATACGTTTAAAAATTTTGAATGGTTCGAATCGAAAAAATAATGTATTTTTCGACTCGGTACGATACGATTTTTTAAATCGTATCGAAAGGTCCACATAGTTTGTAACAAGGCAATAGGAAAAAATATACCAATCATTTCCTAATTGGATCGGAGTTGGAATGCTCTATCGATCGTCCCTTTTGCTTTTAAGCTTTATCTTTTTAATTATTAATAATTGATATTATTATCTTTTTATTATTAAATTCACTATGAGTACTACTTTTCGTTTATATGCAATCTTGACTGACTTTCCACCATCATAAAGATGCTTTAGTTTATTAATTTTATAATGGTCATTGTCCCACAAATATTCATCATTACCACTGATATTATTATTAGTCCCCATGTGTTTAAGTTTTTATGGAAACCATTTGAAATTCATGCTGGTAACATTTAAAACATCTCCAGTATTTTATAAAAGGAAACAAAATATTTGTAATGCGCATAAAAATAATGCATAAAGTATATGAATAATATGTCTTATATATAAAAGTGTATATATATATATATATATGCAGGAAAATGTCAAAACACAAACAAACAAGGCCCTGCAATGATAGATTGCATAAAATTTCAATGGTTGAAAACGACTCTAACGATATGCAAACTTTATTGCTTTATAAAACCACACAAAGTACAAAAAAAAATAAAGTCAAAAGAATCTGAAATTTCATTAAAAATAAATACCACAAAAAAAAAAAGTTTGAAATTGAAACTCCTTTGTCTCTTTGTCCCCTTTTTTTGGTCCACAAGCCCAAAAAAAATTAAAAAATTAACGGGGGAAATTGATTGCAAAATCTGAACACATTTGAGTTTTGACCATGAAAAATGGAATTGAACTGTATCAATTAATATATATTGTTAAATGAATTTGATTTTCAAATTGATTAAATATAATTTTTTGAATTAATTTTAAAATAATAGTGCAAAATTGAGTGGAATTTTTTTTAAAAAAAAAAAATCCTAATCCAACAAAAAAAAATCCTAAGATTTTTATTCCCGTGAATAAAAATCAATTTTAGGAAACAATATTGCATCATAAAATGATCAAACGACCATTATTAACCTTATCCTTATTAGGGCAATTCATTAGCATTTATAAGTAGATTTAAACCTAATGGACCAGAAAAATGTGATCGAATTTGATAAGTTTTTTAAAATTATTTTATGAAAAAAAAATGGAATTAATAAAATAATTATTGAAAATATATAAATAGTTTGGAGGAAAAAAAAGGATTTACCTGGACGACCAAGTTGAGGGAAGCGAGTGCGGTGGTGCTGGCGATTCGGAGCCTGTAAGTCTTGTTAGGTTCAACGCGTAAAATCCGAGGAGCGCATTGATCACCTCCTCTAAACGTGCACTGCTTCTTCGTGTTCTCGCTAAATTGCGCCGCTATAGAACAATTGAATTGTCCTCTTCCGTTTATCAATATACTCTGCATAATTTCCAAGGAAAAAAACCCCCCCAAAAATGATCAGACGGAATTATGGAGAGATAATTATATATTTATATTAACTCTATGAAGATCGAAATTGTCAAATTACCGAGTTATACTCCTTATTAAACGAGTGGAATTAAATTTAATAATTATTTGTAAAATGAAATTTAATAGAATTAGAAATAAATATGAAATATTAATAGTAAACACATACGTTTTAATAAAAGCTATAACCACACCAAATCTAAATATAATCTGAAACCAAACAAAAACGTTATATAAAAAACAAATAGATATATAGCTGCTAAAAATAAAAATATCATGCAATAAAATGACCAGACTCAATCAAAATTCAAAACATACACGTACTTAAATCTAGGGGTAGGCGATTCGGGAAATGGTTCAGATTCGAACGGGAATTGATCGGTTCAGTTCTTTCGATTTTACAAAAATAGGTACCAATCGGTTTTTACATTATATTCGGTTCGATTCGGTTCGGTTCCGGGTTTTATTAAAAAAAGGATAGATTTTCTTTAAAAATATTTGGTTTTTCGGGATTTTTATAGCTCGGTTCGGTTTTAGAAAAATTCGATTCTCTAAAAATGATACCGTTCAAAAATTAAGAACGACTTTTTCGGTTCGGTTCGATTCGATTCCGAAGAACCAAACCGAAACGTCTAGTCCTACTTAAATCCACATCATTTTTGGACTTCCCCACCACCACTAGCTAAAGAAAGAGAAAGCAATTAAAAAAGAAGAAGTTCTAAGATTTTTTTATTTTTTATTTTAAATTAAAATAAAAAAATTATATAAAGATATATATATATATATATATATATATATA